CTCGCTACTTCCCATCGGCAGGCAGGTGTTCAGCCATCTCCAGGAAAGCAGGGCTCCGTCACGCCTAACTGTTACTTGGGAAGACAAACGCCATCACTCTGAACGTCCCCCCCTTCCTTCTTCTTCCCCCAGCTTTATATGCTGAGCATGACACCATATGGTATGGGATAACCCTCTGGTCAGTTGGGGTCAGCTGTCCCAGCCATGTCCCCTCCCAACTTCTTGTGCACCCCCAGCCCACTCGCTGGTGGGGTGGGGTGAGAAGCAGAAAAGGCCTTGACTCTGTGTAAGCACTGCTCAGCAGTAACAGAAACATCCCTGTGTTATCAACACTGTTTTCAGCACAAACCCAAAACATAGCCCCTTACTAGCTACTGTGAAGAAAATTAATTCTATCCCAGCCAAAACCAGCACAACTAAGTAAACAGACCAGCTGGGATTCAGCACCTAAACAAAGGTGCCGGTGCTGCTTGGTGGTCTCCAGGTCTCCCTCCAGAAAGGAGGATCTTGTGTAGGTCTTGTGTCGTATCTGCCACGTGAAAAAGCATAGAAATACACCTGAGGCTGCTGGAATTGAAGCTAGAGAAGACAAGAGAGCACCAGAAAGTGTGTGTCTAACAAGTCTGTGAGAGAGGGGGCTAAAGAGAGGGGAAAAAGCGCTTCATGCGTAACTGTTAGTTGACTCCTTCCTTTCTCCTTCTGCTCCTCTGAAAGAAGCAATTGAGCCGTGCTCCAGGACGTCAGTGGCACATCCCATGACAGTGGAGATTGGTCTTTGTATTCGGCACTGGCATATGTCTCAGGAAAGCTCTTCCAGAGCTTCTTTAATAATTTCCAAAGTGCTCACACAGGACTGGTTCTGACATGGGCTAAAGTGTTGCAAACCTTGGTTGGGCAAGGGTGAATTCCACAGCCAGCCAGCGGCACCTTGACAGAGCACAGGTGTTACCACTCCTCCGTTGTGGTTTCCCTCTAGGAAGTGGGTTGCTCTGTATTGTTCCTCTAGGTCACTCAGCAGAGCTGCATGGGCAACGAGCTTTTGGTCTTACTCTGGAAGCCAGCATGAAACAAAGGATAATGAATATGTCTTCACTTTTTGGGTTAAATGTTACTAGAAGTAATTTCTGGAGCTTCTGCAGAGGGCTTCCAGTAAAAGGCTTCTTTTGTCACTGTATGTCTTCCTTGGCACCTCTGTCACAGGGCCCAGCAGCTCCCATCAGGCACTGCAACATAACTGGTTTCAAAATATTCTGGAATGGGCCACTCAGCTGCACTGGATGGCTTCTAGAGGAACTTAGGACACTAAGGTCAAGGGAGCCCTCTCTTCAGGAGCTGGCTCTGCGATGACTGAGAGCTGCCACAGACTCTGGCAGCGAGCTGGGCAAACATCCCACGTGGGTGGAATTTCTCACGCTCTACCACAAGCATCCCAGGGTGGTCTGCCTCAGCAATCAACTGAGCTGCTAGGAATGGTAGTTTCCGGCATTTCTCTGCTTGGAGGTGTTACGGGAATAATCAGACTTCCCTTTTTGGCCTTTATGTAGAAAGGGGCTTTCTCTGCTATCCTTCTAGCTGTATGATTGACAGAGTCTGAACTGAGGTCAGCCAATTCTTACCCAGAAGTGAGAACCCAGAAACAATGAACTGTCTCAGAGGACTTCAGAAGACTGTGTCATAAGCAACATCACTGGCTTCTCATACAGCTCATCACCCCCACGCATGCCTTCATTTTGCCCCAGCTCACATAATCTCTGAGACACGCTGCCATTGCTTTTCCAGGGCTGAACGAGCCGCACGTCCTCCTTGGGTACACTCCCACCATTGTGGCAGTGGGCTCTTAGGTATGCCTTAGAAGACAGAACGATCCCCACGCTGTTCCTTCCCTCAGTAAATCCTTTGGACATCATTCTCATTTCCATCCCAGTGGAGATCCTCACTCCTTATCTCCCCCTCCTGTGTCTTACAAGTATGAATTTTCACTGTAATCCTTAGTCCAAACAGACTCAGTCCCTTTGGATGCAGCTATATTTCTTTCTTTTCTTGCTATCCCTAATTGTTGTTAGGCTTGTGGCATTAACCCAAGTAATAGCTACTGCTTTACCTCTGGCATAGTGATTTTACTTTAATAACATCAAAAGGTGAAGTACTTTGCTTTTATTGAGAAGTATTGAGAAGTCTGTGCATGTGATTGAGGGGATAGGGAAAAGGAGAGAGTGGCTATCTACCACCTGTAAATTTTTGGGGGGGGCTGTACACAGGTTTCTCAAGCAGTATGGCTACTCAGAAATATGCAAAAACCCTCGCTAGAAAAAAGGCTACTTCTTTCCCACAGTAGAGTAGAGCTGGAGTGGGAAGGGGCCATCCCTTCCAGCTGGTAAGGAACAGTCATTACTTCTTCCCTTAAAATGGAACAGCAACTCCATGTGGTTGGCTGAACCCTGTGCTGCTGCTGCAAGCAGATTTAACTTCCTCACTCTCTGTTCCCATTCCCATGGCGCCTGCACACCATGGTTCACTGTAGACAAAGGGCATTTCACCAGTTATTGCTTAGACCTGGATGCAGTGCCTAGATTCAGCCATCTATCTTTGGCATACGGTGCTTCATTTCTACTTGATTAGAGACCATTATGATACTGGTGTTATGAGTATTTATTGTCTGTTCTACAGAAGTGCTTAGATTCCAACCCAAGAAGTGTCCCAGATGTTAAGTGTTACTGAGACAGGACATAAAAAGAGCCCTAAGGCCAGAGTTTGCAATCCAGATTAAGAGTATATGGAGCAGGCTGTTAAACAAATAACTGGGTAGAGAAAAGTACCAGATGGAAAAAAGGGTATGGGAAAGACAATGTAGAAATCTAAAATAAAAAAAGTTTTGAGATCAAAGTTGAATTTTACTTATGCATTTATGGTTTGGTCAGAAAATAGTTTGGAAATCAAATCCACAGACTAGCTGGGTCTCTTTTTGCCTGACCTGTTAAATTGGGTAGTTGTATATTTTGCACCTACCATTAATAAAGTATGCTGGTTGTCACGAACAATGTGAAATATCATAGTATTTTTTAAGCCATGATGCAAAATACCTAGTTCTTAAATACATTTCCCATGAGGAAACAGCTAACAAGTAGTCAATGTGGAGAAACAGGCATCCTACTCTCATGAGCACCTCCTTTAGAATAAAATCTCTATTGACTGCAGCAAGGCTAGATGACTGAAGTTAGGTCAGACAAATCCCATATGCATACAGGATGTAAGCACACCTTTCAACATACACATGCCATCTTATACACTCCTAACATGCATCATAGTGGTATATAAAATTAAGATGAAGATGTAAGATAATTTTAAAAGATGAGAAATCTCACAACCAACATTGTCCATACAATCTTAATTTGACTTCACTGTGCATATGTACTATGATTGGGTTTTAATTATAAGATCATAAAATATGCTTTCAATTGGACTCCTGATTCACGTACTGTGCAGGACTGACTATGGAATCCCTCACTGCTATACCTCAGTGCTACCACAATGTTACTTAATTTCTAGACCAGCCCTCTGGGGTAACGCAGTGATCTCATCACTGTTTTACAAACCAGGGATTTACGATGCACCGAAATTAAGATTAGAAGTGTCACCTTCCCCAGCCTCAGTCTCCTAAGACACAGCTTTTCAGAGTACTCAGGTGAGTGTAGTCCTTTTCTCAAGCACGGTACAACTTCAGTTGTAGCCTTTGGTAGTCCCACACTACTGATCCTCAAGTCAAGCACCAGATGACATGACCACAACTTAGAAAACAAAATTGTGACTAGCAAAAGTTTTCACTAAGTGAATTCCCAAATATCATGGCGAGCCTACGAAGGTGCAAAGGTGTTGAAGTAAAGTGCTGTTCTTCCGGGTTTGTCCAGTGACTCTAACCATGACACCATCCTTCTTCTATAAACCCCTACCTCATGTCTTACATCCTTTGTACTTCTGCAACAAATGAGGTATGAAGGGAGGGAAAGCACCCTCCTTCACTGTACAAACCTGATCACCCCCAAAACAAGCTTTTTGCATACAGAGAATGAAACAGAATTCCAGTGGAGAAATACCAGGTGGCTGCATACTTCCAAGACCCCATCATAATGCCTTTTCACAGTGGTCTGGGTAAAAACAATTTTAATTGATTTTTCTAGATTTGACTCCGCAACCTTAACAAGGTTTTTAAAAATCATTTTGTCTGCAACGTCCTGGGGTTTTTAAAAAAGCAAATGAGAACAAAAACAAAACCAGAAGTTCTATCATGCATATTGTTATCTCCATGGTGCCACAGTTAGTTTGGAACCTCTAAATCCACAGCATA